AAGCCAAGGTATTGAAAAGTCTCCTGAAAACCACGTGAAAATCAATTACGTTGAAATGCGCCTTTTCCATTTGTGGCCTGGTTACCATCCAGCTGCCTGTCTCTGTGTGGAGCTGTGTTTCTTACCTTCTAACTCCAAAGAACAGTCCAGAGCTTGCAAGTCTGGTCATGTTTTTCTGCTTAGAGTCCTACTGTTCAGAATAAGCAGGTGTCTAGACCCTAATCTTCTCTCGCTCTCTGGGACCTCCCCAGGCAAATCTGGAGAAGATGTGCCGCACCCTGGAAGACCAGCTGAGTGAGATTAAGACAAAGGAAGAAGAGCATCAGCGCATGATCAATGACCTCAATGCTCAAAGAGCTCGTCTGCAGACAGAAGCAGGTAACATACCCTCACACCTCTCTGGAAAGGGACAACCTGTAACTAATGATAACAAAAAAAAGGAGTGAAGCTTCACTCAAATTGATCTAGTCTCTGTGATCTGTTATACAGTGCTTAAAAGACGCATTGACTTAATATTGATTATAAATTGCAGTCTGTCTGTAAACTTTCTTAGGTGAATATTCACGCCAGGTGGAAGAAAAAGATGGTTTGATATCTCAGCTATGCAGAGGGAAACAGGCATTCACTCAACAGATCGAGGAACTAAAGAGACATTTAGAGGAAGAAATAAAGGTAAAGATACTTCCATAAGGGGGGTTGACTTTGGACTGAGATTGTGTTTTCTTTCAGGAAATAAAACCTCTACGCTGGACTTCCGGAGGGCAGATTTTGACCTATTCAGAAGTCTAGTCCAGAGCATACCCTGGGAAACAACCCTTAGAAACAAGGGGGTTCAGGAGGGATGGATGTGCTGTGAGCAGGAAGTTTTGAGAGCACAGGAACAGGCTGTACCGGTGTGCCGAAAGGCAAGCTGGTGAGGAAGACAACTAGCTTGGTTAAACAGGGGGATTCTGAAGGAAATCAGGGATAAAAAGAAACTTTACCAACTATGGAAGAAAGGGCTGACTACTTATGAAGAATTCAGGAAGACAGCTAGATCATGCAGAAAGAAAATCAGGGATGCAAAAGCGCAATTTGAAGTTAAATTGGCCACTTCTGTTAAGGATAACAAAAAGTC